TAGGAGTGTTGTGGCTTTTAAAATCTCTGGGATAAGAAGTGTGAAAATTTGGGAAGTAGAGGTAATAATGGGGAAGAGAATATTGGATTGAATGTTGCACTATTGAACAGAGATGATAGGGCAGAGTAAAGATTTTGGGTACAAGGTAGGGAACAGCTCTCAGAGACAGTTCTCTCATTCTAGTGCCGCTCTCTTCTAGTAGGAGTTTGATGTGTGAGTAGACTTTGACTGGATCCATGTATAATACCCACATTAAGGACAGGCTCAAGACTCTGTCATATGCCCCAATAATTAGCCCAGCTCCAAGGACTAAAAATACTTCCAAATTATTGGAAGCTCTGATGTCTTAACCTTACACCTTGAAGAACAGAAATTCTTTCTTTTGTCACCACTCATTTCTTCTCTCTCCAAAACCTATAGGCCTGCATTCCTCTTGATTCTAGGTCCCTATCCATCTCTCTTCTCATTCTGCTTCTAAAATACTCCCAATTGTTCAGAACAATTTAGTTCTGGCCTAAAGCTTAATCAATTCAACAAAGCAAAAGCCTGAAGTTGCCCTAAAATGACATCTATAGTTCTTCAAACAAAATAATGTACCATATATAATATGCAATATTGCACATTGTCCAGGTTGATCATGATTTGTTTGTTATTTTCAATGCCATTAGAATCAGATTTGCCTTATGATTAGCATAGTACTGTAATATATTGTGATAGTTCACTAAACTTTATATATTGTTTATATTTGAAACATCTTAAAATGCAATTTTGTATGTTATGCATGGTAAATGATCTTTATAATTACGTTGGTATTAATTCCAAATCAAATGTAGTGTGCTTGACTCTGCTCATAAATATGTATAGCTTTTTTCCCAAACCTGCTAAATATATATGCATCTATTGTGTAATACAGACCCTGTGAGGCATAAATGAACATAGGATGTACATTACATGAGAGTGGGTCTTCTTCTCTCTCAGTCCTCTGTGTTCCAGAAATACTCTTTTTTATCACCATTGTGGAGCAATAGGCCAGTTTCCCCTTAGTAGCCTAAATCAGTCACCCTAGCCAACACCCTAACTCTCTTTTAAGCCCGTTGACTCAAGAATCATGAGGAACCCAAAGCAGCTCAGTCACAGTGTTAATTCCTAGTTCAATGGAATCATTTTTGTGTCTCCTGGTAGAAGCATTCTTTCCTCTGGAACCAAGTTCCCTCTGGAACCAAGTTCCCTCCAGAACTAGGCCAGAAGAACATAATATTGCAGGAACAGTGAGAAAAACTTCTGCTAGTGGGTCACTAGGGATGATGGTAAGTAGTTCCACTTCCATTTCTACCCATTGATTCCTGGACCTGTGACTCTTGGCTATGGGAGAAACAGTTCCATATATTGGATGCTGATTCAGAACATATACAACTTTCTGGAGAACTCTGTCTTAGCCCTGTGAAATACCATAACCTACCTGGTACTGTAACTCTGACTTCCAAAGGCCGCTATATCACTCTATTAAGCCAGCTTTTTCAGAATGAAGAGAAACATGCTAAGACTAGTGAATTCTATGAGCATGAGCCAGTTGCTGCACTTTTTCTTTGAGAAGTGAGTTCCTTAGTCAGAAACAATGCTGTGTGGAATAGGATGGCAGTGAATAAATCATTATGTAAGTCTACAAATGGTAGTTTTGGCAATAGCATTGTACGCAGGGAAGACAAATCCATATCCATAATAAGTGTCTATGCCAGTAAGGACAAAATGCTGCCCTTCTGTAATGGAAGTAGTTTAAGGGAATCAATATGCCCTGGGAAATGGTGCCACATCAGGGCTCACTGTTGGTCTCCAAGTGCTCAGTCTCTGGCCTCTGAGTGCTTACTGTTGGTCTCTGAGTGCTCAGTCTACAGCAATGGCAATAGCCAAGATCAGTTTTAGTGAGTTGAAGCCCATGTTGCTGAGCCTATGATTCACCTCTATCCCTACCACCATGGTCACTTTGTTCCTGAGCCCATTGGGCAATGACAGAGGTTGCTGAGGAGGAGGCTGACTGGTATCCACAGAATGGGTCATCCTGTTCACTTGATGATTAACAGCCTCCTCTGCTGGTGTTATTTTTTGATGAGTATTCACATGGAATACAAATATTTGTACATTTTTTTTGCCCACTAAGAGAGGTCTATATGCATAACTCTTCCCCAATATTCTGTTATTAGTATTCTAAATATGTTCCTTCTGAGTCCTTGGCCATCCAGCCAAACCACTGGACCAGGTATTCTCATCCTGTGTCAATTGATTGTAGGGAACTGCCCATGAGAGCACAGTACAAACTGGGAGAGAGGAGGCAGTGTAGAAGGAGAGAGGACTATGGGCATTTGGGCTGCTTCATGTAACTTACTTGAGCCTTCAGGACCTGCTTCAGCCCATTCATGTGTATGCCACTACCATCTGATGATAGACTACTGCTGTGTCTGCCCAACTTTATGGCTTCATGGGCCAAATAACACCCAGTTAATGGTAGGCAGTTAAGGTCACATGGTAATTTGGTGGCCCAAGGCTAAGAATTCAGCTTTTACTAAGGCCTAGTAGCAGGCCAAGAGCTGTCTCTCAAAAGGAGAGTAGTTACCCGCAGATGATGCCAGGGCCTCATTCCAGGATCCTAAAGACCTCTGTTGTGATTTACCTATCGGGCTCTGCCAAAGGCTCCAAACAGCTTCCCTGTCTGCCACTGATACTGCAAGTATGCAAGCACCGTTGGAGCTGCTGGGTCATATGGCCCAAGTGGTAGAGCAGGTTGCATAGCAGCCTGGACCTGTTGCAGAGTCTTTTCCTGTTCCGTGCCCCACTCAAAACAAGAAGATTTTTGTGTTACACAGTAAATGGGCCAGGGTAACACACCCAAATGTGTTGCCTCCATAGTCCAAATAGGTCCACTAGGCGTTGTGCCTCTTTCTCAGTTGTAGGAGGGGCCAGATGCAACCATTCACAGTTTACTTCAGAAGGGTTATCTTGACAGGCTCCACACCATTGGATTCTTAGAAATTTCACTGAGGTAGAAGGCCCCTAAAGTTTAGTTGGATTTATTTCCCAACCCCTGACAATACACGTCTTGCCAACAAATCCATAGTAGTTGTTACTTCTTGTTTACTAGGTCCAATTAACATAACATCATCAATGAAGTGAACAGGGTGATGTCTTGTGGAAGGGAAAAGCAATCAGGAACCCTGCAAACTAAATCATGACATAGGGCTGAAGAGTTTATATACCCCTGAGGTAGGAGGCCAGAGATGTATTGCTGGCCTTGCCAGTGAAATCAAACTGCTTCTGGTGGGCCTTATGGACAGGTATGGAGAAAAAGCATTTACCAGAACAATAGCTGCATAACAGGCACCAGATGTGTTAATGTGTTCAAGAATGAAACTACATCAGGTATAGCAGTTGCAATTAGAGTCACCACTTGGTTAAGCTTACAATATTAGCCATTGCCATTTTCCAGGATCTATCTGTCTTCTGCACAAGCCAAATAGGAGAGTTAAATGAGGATATGAAAATCATCACCTCTGCATCTTTCAATTCCTTGATGGTTGCACTAGTCTCTGCAACCCTTTAAGAATGCTACCTTGTTTTCTATTTACTATTGTCCTAGGTACAGGCAGTTCTAATAGCTTCCATTTGGCCTTTTCTATCATAATGACCCTCACCCACTAGTTAGAGAACCAATGTAGGAATTCTGCCCACTGCTAAGTCTGTCTATTCGAATTGTGCACTTGGAACTGGAGAAATAACTACAGAATGAGTTTGGGGACCACTGGACCTGAGCTAAAGCTCCATTAATCAGCTGACTCCCCAAAGCCTCTACTAACTGGAGGGCCACAGTGATGTTTTCAGTTTCTTGAAATCAAATGTCAGTTCCGAGCCAATAGCCAGTTGTCCCTGAAAAGTCTGATTATTTTCCTTTCCCTGATAAAAGGCCAGAGGTCCCTTTGAGGAAGTATAGGAGAAAGAGTAACAGTATAAATTTTATGTAGTGCACCAGGGTCTCTCCTCAAGGGGACCTGGTCTCCCATTCACTTAAAGGGCTCTCTGTAAATTGGCTCAAGTCTAGAAATTGATTGAGGGGTAGTGATTCCCTGTTGTTATGATTCGAGTTAGACTTTTGTTCACTTGACCTAGAAATTTTGTGCTTCTACAGTTCAAGTAAAAGCATAGTAAGTTTCCCATCTATTTTACTTCTAGGAATATCTAAGTGTGTCCTGAAGGAGAATCTCCTATTATATAGCCATAGGACTTAAACATAATTAATTAGCCAATACTGGAGGTCTACACAAGTCAGATTATTCTGATTATTGCTTTGCCTCTGCTGTTAATTCTGGTAACTACCCACCTTGCCTTTGGCATTTGAATGCCATCACCTGGCCCCTTCCACCCAGGGATCCAATTATTCCCATGGCATTCGTTTTCTTTTTCTTTCTTTTTTTTTTTTTTAGGACATTTCATTTTTAATCACTCAAAAATGAAAAAGGTCTGGACAATGTCAAATTTCACTCACCATAATGTTATAGTTACACATTAAATATAATTACTATCTATACATATGCAAAAATATAAAGTTCTATTTCATACAATAAAACCCTTTATAGAAACCATTTCAAAATTAAGCAGAACTTCTCAACATTAATATGTGAGGTCTAAGTCCTTCTAAAGTTTCCTTTAAAGGTTTTAAACAAAATGCTAAACCTACAAACATTGTCCTGTCAGTTCTCAAATTAAATCTACTTAGAACACACATAAAAATTGATAGCTCAATCACATACTACTTAAATGATATTGTTCAGGCATCTCTAAAATTCTCCATTTCTTCAAGTATGGAAATAGAACTAAAATATTCCACAATACAGTACTAAACAGATGGAGTATTTAGGAAAGACTTTGTTGTCATATGGCACAATATTAATGTTTTTTTTTCTCCAATAGATTTTGAAATAAATATCAGTTTTTTTGTTTTTGTTTTTGTTTTTGTTTTTGTTTTTTTCCTAAAAGACCAAAATTATAATCTACATTAAGGTAATTCTGACTGTGGTAAGACTTAAGAGTATAAAATACAACATCAATATTTTATCACAAAAGTAAAGCTGGTAACAAATTATAAAAGGATCCAGTACTCTACTGAGATGGACTTGGAGATTAAAGCTCATCATGATAGAAATAGTCATCATGGAGCTGTCTGCCATGATCTGTGGCTTCACTGGTAAGAAACAAGTCCTGGTTTTCCAGAATCTCTTCTTCAGAGAGCTTTTTGTCACCATTCAAATCCATTCCATCAATCAGATGAAGAGCCTCCTCTTGCGCAGTGCCCTGATTATTAGGTACTACCCAAGATAACAGCTCTTGGGCATTCACGAATCTGTCTTTCTCAACAAGTATCCATTCTGGATCTTCATTTGCAGTTGGATCCCGCCTGTAATCACCAAGAAATTCTTCCAAACTAACAAATCCATCACCATTTTTGTCATGTTCTTCTAAAGCTTCATGAATGACAAATTCTGTCATATAATCAAGTTCTTCAGGATGCTCAAAAGCAATAAATTCTTCAAGACTCAAACCGGGACCTGAATCCTGGTTAGCTTTTTCAAATCGCTTCTTGTCCTCTAAGTGAAGCTGCCTAAAGGACTCTTCTTCTGCATCATCCAGAGCCGTGTTCTCATCAAAATCAATCACACGATCATACATCTGAATGCTGTATTCATCCCATGTAACAGTACCATCGTTGTTTTTATCCTATTCAACAAACTGTTGTTTTGCTTCTTGCATAGCATAATGCTTAAAAGACATCTGCATCCATGAGCTGAGTTCGCTTTCGGTGAGAAAGCCATCTGAGTCCAAGTCGATTTTCTTTATGATCGCCTGCAGTCTTTTTTGCTGCTCTTCGTGGCTGAGTTTCACATATTCATCCACATCTTCCTCTAGGAGGAAGCGACACGCAGGAGGGCCAAGCATTACTGGACGCCCAGCAGCGCCTCGAGGTCGTAGTCGCTGCGGTGCTCGCCCTGCGGGTAGTGCAGTTCCTCGGCCTCGCTGGCGCCGGCCGCGGAGGACACCTAGGGGCGCTGGGAGGGAGGCGGGCAGGGCCCGGGCCGCCTGCGACGCCCCGCGGGCCCGGGCGGCTCCCGAGAGGCGGCGCGGTATACGTTGAGGGCGGAGGGGACGGAAGGCGGAACCCGCTACAACAGCCACAAGGCCCGGGGACAGGCCGGGGGCTGGTCCTCCACTCGGCATTTGTTTTCTGATTGAGTGATTGTAGTTCCCACTGTAAGGTCTGGAATGCAGAGACCAATCACAGAGATCTTTAAAAATTCTAGTGCTACCCTCACAAATCTATTTCTTAATATATGAGTGAAAGGTGTATCTTCTGGACCTTCCCAGTGTGGGTGAGTAGGTTTTATGCAACAAGACCACTGTAGCATTCCAATTTTTCCAAGCATTTTAATTCCCTCCAGTAAGTGAAACCAAGGTAGATCAGGCATCCCCAGCTCACTCATGGGGTGGGCTATCTTTTGATCCATCTTTCAGCCAGTTGGCCAAATAAACTTATACTGCCTTTTTTTTCACTCCTTGAGCTGCAATATTAAATGCAGAATACCTGCTTAGTGGGCTCACATCAATAAATTTGGCCTCATCCTTTGTGTTTCTTCCACCACAATCCCACATCCTTAATGTCCATTCCGACAGATGTTCCTTGGATTTCTGCTGGTATCAGTTAGAACACTCAAGTAGTTCTTTTGGAGTATAGCACACTTCCTCTTTGGTCACGCTCTGAACCTTCCCTCTGGGATTTGAGTCTAGTTATAGGTTTACAAACATGAGGAGTGGTTAAGGGTAGATCCTGAGGAGAACCAGCATTGTCTTGCCTGGCAACTGCTGCAGGGGAGACCATTACTTTTTTTCCCAGCAATGCAGTTAATCTCAGAGAGGGGTGGAAAGGAGATAGCACTGTGGGTGGGGGTGCCGCTGCCTCTGGGGGTGAAGAGGACACTCACTCTGGCAAAAAATACTCATCAGAATTTAGGAGCTCAATGTCCCCAGCTCCATCAGGATCATCCCACACATTCCCATCCCCATTTAGATGATTCTGTTTTTAGCTATAGACACCAGGAAGGGGTTAGAGTTCACCTCTCTTGTAACTCAGCTGATGGCATGCAGAGGACTTGTGTCTGATTTTCAGCAGTTTAAGTCCTATGGCTACAGAATAGGAGATTCTCCTTCAGGACACACTTAGAAACTTTTAGGGTATGTATGCATCTGGAGCTGGGAGTTGAAAGTCCTGAGCTCAGCATCTTTTTCTTTTTTCACTTTGTCCAGTGATATTAAGAGCAACTAATTCACTTCATTATTATTCCTTGGTTTCCCACAATAGTTTGAAAGTATGCAGAGAGTCACTAAACTCCTTACCTCCTGCAAGTGGTGAATTAGGAGTATCAGGTGCATTTATTATATCTATAAACAGTTCATGCCAAAGACTATTTAGGTTTAATCAGATTAGAAAGTCAGTTTCAGAAATCCCAAAACCAATTCAAGAAATTCATTTAAAAAATACTGTTCCTCTAGAACCATTCCTGGCAGTGTCTGTATTCCAGGGTTCTCCAGGGGGACAGAACCAATGGGATATATATGAAACAGAATTTATAGGGAAAATTGGCTCACACTGTCACAATGGTGAAGTCTCACCACCAGAGGCCGCCTGCAAGATGAAGAAGCAGTTGGTAGCACTGCTTTCAGGGAAGCGGGTAGTGTGATTTCATCAGGGTCTGAAAGCCTCAAAAGCAAGGAGACCAAGAATGCAGCCCCAGTCTGAGGCCAAAGGCCTTAGACCCCCCAGGAAGCGACTGGTGCAAGTCTCAGAATTTAAAGGCCAAAGAACCTGGAGTCTGGTGTCCAAGGGTAAAGGATGAAAAAGTGTTCTACTCAGGATGGGAGAGACAGAGAGGCCAAAAGAGAAAGCCAAGCAAGTCCAGTGTCCCTCTTCTCCTGCCTGCATTACTCTACTCACATCCCTAAATGATTGGACGGTGCCTGCCCTCATTGAGAGTGGCCCAGTTTACTGACTCATGGGTCAGTCTCTTCTGGACACACTCTTACAGCCATACCCAAAATCAGTACTTCACCAGCCCTCAATCCAGTCAAGTTGACACCTAAAATTAATCATCACACTAAGAAAAGCCAAAAATATAAGAGGCAGTACATTATACCCAGGGAGGCAGCATAATATACAGTGAAGATCGAGGACTCTAAAACTAGACTATCTTGTTCGATTCTGGTTGCTTACTTAGTAGTTATGTAATTTTGGACAATTTATTTAAACTTTTTTGTGTTTCAGTTTGCTCATTTATAAAATAAGGATCACAAAAATAATCTCTGTCTCAAGAGCTGTTAGGAGGATTAAATGAGTCAATATATATAAAGTGTTTAGAACTTGGCATTTTCTACAATAATTCTTTTTTAATTTGAGAAAGAGTTTCACTGTGTCTTCCAGCCTAAAGTGCCATGGCATAATTACAGCTCACTGCAGCCTCAAACTTCTGGGCCAAAGACATCCTTCTGCCTCAGTCTCCAGAATAGCTAGGATTACAGGCACATACTACCATGCCTGGCTAAATTTTTACTTTTATAGAGATGTGGTCTCACTATGTTCCACAGGCTGCTCTTCAACTCCTGGACTCAAGTGATCCTCTCTCCTCAGCCTCCCAAAGTGCTTGGATTATAGGCATGAGCCAAGCACTCAGCCTATATTAATTTTTTGTCCTCCTGGGCTCATGTATATACCTTCAGACTAAGTGGATATTTTATAGAAAGCTTCCTTAAAGAAGTGTGCTATGGAAAAAACATTACTTCCTCATGACGATTTTGGTATGAGATTATGCGTAATTCATGACAAAACATGCAATGGTACTGTCCATCAATCAGTCAGGTGGATGGCTGTATGATGAATTATCTTGGTAGGTTATTTCTATTACCTTTCCATTCTTAGTTAACCTATTATGATAGTCTATGAAGTTTATCCCTAAATATCTCTCAAATCCAGCCAGTTTTCTGTATGAGTAAATGTAGCAATGGAATTGGCTTGTTCTGAATGGTTAATACAGTTGCTCACTCTATATAATTATAAATGAACCATCTTTATCTAGATACTTTCTGTCAAGGATTCTGCCACTTCATAGACTTGTCACAGAACCCTTGGGGAAAAAAAGGATTCTAAAAAAGAATGTTCTGTAAACTTAAATTTTCTCAAAAAGAGGACACTTTAGCTAATCCACTAAACTTGGCTTGAATGTCGATTCAATTCTTTCCTGAAGGAATTTTTACTATTTTAGTTTTTATCTCTTATAGTATGCCTAGATTTAGACTGTCTACAGCCCAAATTCTTCAGCTTTCCTAATTTTACTTATTCTAGGACTGCTCTTCATACTTTGGCTGATATAATTTTCTCTTGTTATTTATAGGAATCTAGAAAATTCCCAGTAATCATGCAAAAAAATATATGACTAAAGTATTTGATCTCTGTCATCTGTCCTTAATTTCTGTATTTTGCTCTTTCTCCAAAGAAAAAAAGTTATACAAAGTGAAAAGGAAAGAAAAAGTGATCTAAAAGACCTCTTCAGGTAGGATTCAGTATGTTTTCATGGGAAGATTGTGAAAACCTACAAGAAGCTGATGCTCAAAGTTTATTACAGTGTCATCTTCAGAATATAACCAAAGCCCATTCTCTAGTGAGACAACTGGTAGTTAGTGATCTTGGAAGTCATGCACTAATTTTGATCCATGTCAGGAAAATTTTGTAGAGTTAGTGATAGATATTCAGTTTAAGTTCATATCAACTCAAAAATAGTAATTCATCACAAAAATAGTAATGGGATTCATTCCGAAGGCTTCTGTGTTCCCACATTACCCCTTCCATCTTAGATGAGGCTTCTATAAAATATGAAGTCCGTGTCTGCTGTTTGAATATACAAAGTGTGCACAATTTGAGATCTCTAAGATCTACGATGGATGCTTAGCCATGGGGTTGCAGATCAGAGAGTCATAATTCATCAAAACAGGCCGGGTGCAGTGGCTTGCACCTGTAATCCCAGCACTTTGGAAGGCCAAGGCAGGCAGACACCTGAGATCAGGAGTTTGAGACTAGCCTGGCCAACATGGTGAAACCCCGACTCAACTAAAAATACAAAACTTAGCTGGGTGTGGTGGTGTGTGCCTATAATTCCAGCTACTCAGGTGGCTGAGGCAGGAGAATCGCTTGAACCCAGGAGGTGGAGGTTGCAGTGAGCCAACATCACACCATTGCACTCCAGCCTGGGCAACAGAGCAAGACTCTGTCTTAAAAATGATAACAGCGTTTGTGCTTCTCTACATCTTTTGATTTTTTAAGCATAGATACTTCAGTTATATATTTATACTGGATTTTAAATAGGATAGCTTCTCATTATTCTTGGAGTCCCAATGTCTATTATTTCTCCTTTAGGGTATTAGCAGCGCTTTACTTTGAAATCCCCAAGGGTAGAGGACTTGTGCAGACCTTGCTACTTGGGTTCTTTTTAGCTCATCTTCTACTGCTGGCTTTATTGCAGAGAATAGTAGTAAAAAGAGAATCTTATTTCTTACAAATGCTGCTCACACTTCTTAATATCATACTATTCAGCCACCCCTGAAGAACTGAATTTCAAATCCTAGTAGCTTGTCAGGGAAGGAATGAAAAATGTCATGTTTACTCCACATTTCCCTACTGGAAACTTCACCGTTTTATTTTTCCAGATGACCAGGAATGCTGTCATCCTTTCAAATCAATAGATGCTTTCCCCTTTGAGTCAGGGCTTTAGCACTATGTGACCAAACTCTTCAACTAAGTAATAAAGTTCATGGCTCTGGGGTTAAAAGCCCAGCTCTCTCACTTATGTGATGTATGCCCTTGGGTTAAAAAAAAATGTTGAAAGGACAAAATGACA